TTGTTTTGAAATGGTCAAGAGCAGAGACCCTGGGCTGTAGACCTCACGTTTCCGAGTAATCAGCAAGAAGGAAGCAGATGGTCCCCCTCTGTGATTCCAAAGTGTGTAAATAGGAACTGCAGTCTGCCATCAAACATCAGAGCTGTCACTCCATGGCCGCGTCTTGCTTTGCTGCAGAAAGGAGCTCCTGCTCTGGTAGCATCTGGATACTCGGGGACAGGCCCGGCCCATAAAGACTGCCCTGAGATGCAAATTCTCCCTTTCTTCCAGCCAAAGAATGCGTAGCTGCGTTGTGTCGGTTTCCCCCAGAAGCACACGCAAAGGAGTGGTACAACAGTTTAGAAAAGCAGCCCCAGAGTGGTGCTTTGCTGTCAGTGCTCACTCTCTCCCTCTTATCGTGGCAGCCAGTTAGTTCCAAGCCACACCCCCACCGCCCATGCTTGCCTGTGCCTAGCTCAGTACCCTGGGGATGGGGAGAGCAGAGCTGGATTCCTGAAGTGATTGCTCTGTTGAGCTGCACTCCAGATGCCTTATTTAAGACCAGGGTCGAGTCCTTGCCCACTGCTACATACACTCAGTGCACACATGGCCCCAAATGTTGTAACCTGGCTCCTCTTGCCTTTCCTCCTGCATAGAAAGTTTACAAACACGGGCTAGGGAAGGAGCACAAAGGGTTATGGTATTTGCACTGCATGCAACTGACCCCTGTTCCATGCCCCTGCCCCTGGATACTGCTAGGTATCGTCCTGGGGGTCCTACACACTGCCTGGGTGGCCTGGGTGACCCCAACACTTCAGGGTTCTAATAGTACCAAATCCTTGCCACCCACCAATTGAACTACCCTAAGCACCGCCAGCCAATATTGCCAAGTTCAGACTTCAGTACCCAGAGCATTGCTGAGTGTGGCCCTGAATCCTTGGGTTGCTCCAGGTAACCCAAGGCACTGCAGGGCTGGAGCAGCACCAAGTCCTCTGGTTCTACCACTAAACCATCCACCCAGTTGGCCAGATATTGCAGGGACCGGGCCTGGGACCCCCTGAGCACACTTCAGGAGGCTCCCCACCATCACCAAAAGAGAATTCTTACTCACTTTGGGGATCTTGAGAAGCCGGGTCATTGCAGTTATTCAGGACTTTGCTATCATGCAGAACCAAGCAGGATTCCTGTTTCACCCGAGATAGCCCCCTCAGCTCCCTCTCCCCCAGACACTTCCCACTGATACCAGATCCCCTCAATGCTTCTTAGATTTCCTTCCTGAGAGTCACTAGATCAAAATGACATTTTTGACTTTGGTGTTGCCAGTTAATGAGTTATCATTGGTCATCTGTGGTAGGATGGTAGGGAGAAGCAGGCAGCCAGGACCTCCTTCCCTTACCTCTGGCCACCCAGTATGTGTGCCAAGGAATCAGTCCAACCTGTCACACACACACACACACACACACACACACACACACACACACACACACAGTCACCATCTGCTCCCTTCAGTCCTCTACTTGATCCTGATTTAACTGACAGGGTGGGGTAGGGGAGATGGTTATGGTTTCATTTGGGGGGCCTCTCTCACTTGTGCTTAGGACTTACCCCTGCCTCTCTACACAGGGTTCACCCCGAGGGACTTGGACCCATATCCTTGGACCCAGGCCATCAAACCTGGGTCAGTTGTGTGTAAAGTGAGAGCCTTACCTCCTGTGTCATCTCTCCAACCCTTGCAATTTGGTTTTTAATGCCCACTGGTGGGCCTTCTAGCATCTGCTGCATGGTCCAAATTGGTCCCTGTGAACTATTCTCACCCCCTTCAGCCTGAATCTTCCCACAGACTCAGCCACAACACACCCAGAACCCTGGGTCCTCGCCTGGCTAATCAGCTCTTGGCTTCACAGTCTGATCAGGCCCTGCCTCTGGTTCCTGGTTCTTGTCTCCGTTGGCTGACTTGACCCCCCTCCACCCATTTCCCTGGTGGATTGGCCTCCCTCCCTCCCTCCCTCCCATCTCTGTGCTCCTCAGACTCCCTGTTCACTACTGAGTGTTTCAGATGAAATACCCTCTCCATCCATCACCGCATCATTTACTTTTCTCATGTTTTTTTTTTAATGTGTTGCTAAAACCTTATGGCTTTAAGTGGATATTTTATCAGAATGTGTCTTCAGGAATAACTGGAAATCGCACAATTCTATCACTCAAGGCTTACTTGGAAAATTCGAAAGTCATTTCTTTGACCTGGGTGTGAAAATTCTGAGTTGTGCTTTGCCAGATTTTCTTGGGTTTGAAGTCATTGTTTTGTTTGAATGACCACCAAGTTCCAGGTCAGGTCAGCTTTGATTTTACCTCCTTCCCAGGATATCCTGTCCTGGTCCTGCTTCGTCACCCCTCCTTGCCCCAGTGTAATCAGCTTCCCGATGTTGGCAGAATTTATAATTTTCTTTTATTCCCCAGGGTAGTTGTAAAATGGAAGTACTTCACATTACTTAATACTAGGTGCAGTAATTTGCAGAATTTGTAGATTTGAAATTAAAGAGGGCTCTAGATGGACCTTTGGTTCAGAAAACAGTATCTGTTGTTGATGCTAATGCCTTTCTTCCAGGAAATGCAATCAGGGCACCATTTGTATTCTCTGCAGGAAGGATTTGGCTTCTTTTAGCCTGCGCTGGCTTGGCCGTCTCCACCTTGGCCCAGTTTTAAGCCAGAGGGGATATGTTCTGAGACTGGGTTGTGGAATTGGCCTGGGCACCAGGAAGTTTTAAAAAATGAAAAGGCTCAATAGTCAGCACTCCACCTAGGGCTGGAAATGTGAGTGTGGCCACACCCAGATCCATCCTGGCCTGAGCCTCATCCAGGAAGAATCATGGCTCCCTCACCCAAGCACCTGAACTTGTCACTCAGGCTACCCAGGTAGCTACTTCCTCTATCCCCGGCCTTCTGAGTTAGCACTATAGAGTAGCTGGCCTTTGGTTGTACCTGTGTGCTATCCTCCCAGCTGCCTTGGAAGGTTTAGGACAGGAGGTGACGTGTGCTTGGTTCTTTTTAGGGTGCTTCCCACTGAACTGGAGAGTTATTAATGAATGAATGCTCAGGAAGTTCTCAGTGATGGACTGATGGATGTACTGGGTTTTCTACCTTGTCTTTTTCTTCTCAGTTTGGAGAACCTTGGCTGACTGTTCAAACATTGTTACAGGGTCAGATATTGTATTAGCTCCCTTATGTCAATCATGCCATTTTCACCACAAACTTACCTGCTGACTTTCCACCTGACATACACACCAGGAGCTGAGAATAGAGAATGCTTCCATTGGAGACACCTCACTCAGTCCTGTGTACAAGCCGGCTGTATCCCAGTCTGAAGCTGCTCCCCTATTTAATTGCACCCGCCTTCCACAGTGACCCCTGTGGCCCAGCTCAGCCCAGAGGTAGACCCCTGTGCTTTGTCTCTTAAGAGTATTTGCTCCTCATTTTCAGGCTACCTAATGTACAGTTCAGGGCAGGAGGTAAATGTGGGGTGAAAGTGTCTGCACTCTGCATTTGGGCATCTGAAACGGCCCTGCCATCATCTAAAGGAGTATTTCTCAACCAGAGGCCAGAATGGCCTGCTGTGGTCCTCAGGATATATATTCCAATGGGCCACTGGTGAAAATTGTATAAATAAATGGGGGGTAAGGGAGGGCCATACCTCACAGCATGAGACTAATGGCCTAACCTGTAGGACAGGAAGGAAACAAGGTCAGAAAGAGGCCACAGTCAGAAACACTGTTTGAAACGCACTGGACTAATATATAAAGTACATTAAACCTCTGATCAAACAAGAACTGTGTTCTGAGGTGACTGGCCTGCCATTAGAGGCAGATGACCTGCACTGGGCCTAGGAATGGGGATGAGCCTGTCTTCATTCCTGATTTATGGAATTTAGCTGATCACCATGTGTCCATTTAAAAATCAGAGAGCGAGAGCTCAAGACTAGAGCTCAAGCTTTGCACTGTTTTTTTTTAAACTGATAAAATTTTATTTTTTAATTATTTCCAAACTTGATAGAGAAATGGATCAGCCCTTCCAGCTAGTTGCACTGATTGAAGAAAATATTCAAAGCTACTTCATGGAAATTATATAGTTTTCCTAATTTAACACTTGGGATGGACACATCAAGTCTAAATATCATAACCATTATTTTTTTTTCTGAATTCTTAGTTAGGCCCCATGATTTACAATGCTGTTAGTAACAGAGTTCCAGAAATAGGGTTCCAACTCCAAACGCACCACCAGTTAACGTCTCTCCATCTCTGTCCCAAGCTTTCCTCTCACCTATCACCCTGCCTCCCCAGCAAACTCATTTTTTAAATTTAATTATTATACTCTGGGTCACATGTTTACAGTCATATTGACTATTATGGCACTGATAATTCCAACTACTTAAGAAGCAACCTTAAGATTGAGCTGCCAGACATTTTATCCCAGCAGGCCTCTTCCTGGTCACTGTGTCTCCCTCTCACCTGCCCAGGTACTCCTGTGTTTGGGCTGAAAAGGCCCAAACCGTTGCTGAGTGCAGGTTTACCAGCCACAAGGCACCCTCATTTTGGAGTGTGAAATTGGTTTTCAAAGCAGACAGCCAGTGGAGGAGCATCTAAAAGAAATATTGATGTGATAGCGGTGTGCTAACAAGAAAGACTCTACAATGGAGCTTGGCTTCACTCCTCCACAGCTCCCGTGCTGACAGGTTTTGCCAATGACTAGCCGTGACCATGACCTTCCGTGTAAGGACCCAGCAGCGATGGCCTTTGTCCATCCCCGATTAATGCCTCCTTAAACCCCCACCTGGGGACGTGCAGGTAGGAAAAAAGCGAGAGGGAATGATCTGAGCTGAACCTTTCTTTCCCCTCTCCACCCTGGGCCACAAGGAAGTACAGGGCCATCTCAGCCTTTAGGTCTCTCTTCTCTTCCACCGGTGACTTGTCCTAGGGGGGGAGGTGGAAGAGGAGGCGGCCACCCCCAGGCTGGGTCCCAGGCGAGCCTCAGGAGCGGGTGACGATGTTGGGGGGCATGAACCCCGTGTCCCCCAGGGTCCAGAGCACCACCCGCCCGTTGGGCCGGACTAGCAGGTGGGTGATGCTGCCGTTGCGGACCGAAAGGCGGCACCAGCCTTCGGGCGGGAACTGCAGCGCCCGGCACACCAGGTAGCGGATGACGTTCGCGTGGCAGATGAAGATCTCGTAACTGTCCTCCAGCTGCTGGCTGTCGGCGCGGTGGATGTAGTTCTGGAAGGCGGCCTCGAGGCGGGCCCGGTCCTTGGAGAGCCGCGCCGCCTCCGACTCGCTGCGGGGCTCCGGGGGGTCGGGCTCCACGGGGAAGCCTTCCCGCAGCAAGTCGGTGCTGGCTGTCTGGACGCCCGGCAGGTGCTTGCTGATGATGTCGGTGGTTTCGATGGCGCGGGTCATGGACGAGTGCACGATCTGACTGAACCTGAGGCCCAGGCTGGCGAGCCGGCGGCCCGTCAGCTCGGCCTGCTGGCGACCCAGGGCCGTGAGGGTGCGGTCCTTCTCCAGGTCGGCGTCCTTGTGGTACTGGGAGTGCCGGATGAGGAAGATGTGCCGGCTGGCCGTGGCGCGGTCGCCCGACGCCAGGCCCCTTTCCCCTGGCAGGAGGGGCGGGGGCGGCGGGTGTCGCTGGTCCCAGTTGGGGTCCCAGGCGCCGTACCCGGAAGACCCGGATCCCGCCTTCGCCGCTGGCACCTCGGCCCCCCAAAACTCTGCATCCCCACCCATGTGGGACTTGCCCACGGCCGCGGTGGAGAAGAGCAGGGCAGCCGAGCCCGCCGCCAGGCCGCAGGCTGCCATCTGCAGCACCCGCCGGAACGACATGGTGCGCGGCACAGCGGCGCGGCAGGCTCCTCGGCACCGCGGCACCGGCCACGCAGGCGCTCTGGGCCCGGGACGGAGCGTGGCGAGGGACACGCTTGTGTGCGCGTTTGCTTCCTGCGGGTGCGTGGCATTGCACTGAGCGTTTGCTTTGCGTGGGGGGCGAGGGGGGAGGGGGGAATCGTGGGTTTGATCACTGGTGTCACGTGTTGCCCCCACACTGCAGGGTTGTGATTCCCTGAACACCAGAGAGAGAGAGAGAGAGAGAGAGAGAGACTGTGTGTCTGTGTGTAGTTGGGGGCGGGGGGCATAAACTCCCAGCCGTGGTTTCGATCCCTGGTATCACATGTTGCCTCAGCGCTGCAGGTATTGCGATTCCCTGAGCACCACTGTGTGTGTGTGTGTGTGTGTGTGTGTGTGTGTGTGTGTTTGTAGTTGGGGGCGGGGGGCATAAACCCCCAGCCGTGGTTTTGATCCCTGGTATCACGTGTTGCCCCCGTGCTGCTGGTGTTGCGATTCCCTGAGCACCACAGAGTGTGTGTGTGTGTGTGTGTGTGTGTGTGTGTGTGTGTGTGTGTGTGTGTGTGTGTGTGTGTGTTGGGGGGAGAAAAAAAAGAAAATATAAGAGCCACTGAGTCAGCGTAGCCCAGAGTATGGGAAGATCAGTTTATTCCCGCGCCTGTAAAGGAGGTAGAAAGCTATGCAAGCAGTTTTCTAGCACTGCAGAGTGTGGGAACGCTTTTCTCTGTAGTTTGATTAATCTGTGGAATGGAAGAGAATGTCTTCGGCCATCGACAGGTTCGATAAATTCCTGGGTTGACCTTCTTTTTTGCCCGTGAAAGCTGTTGGTGTTTAAGCAGGCTTGGGCATGGCCCTGTGTGGAAATGTAAGGGTCAAACATTGTCTCCCCGCTCTCAGAATTAACATTCTGTTCAAGGGAGCGTAGGTGGAGCTAGTCGAAAGATGTGTTGGAGACGGGGCATGGCAGCTGAGTACACAGCAAGCACTGGGGCTCTCTTGGTGGAAATTCCACCGTTTCCCCACATCCTTTATCACAGTCTTTTCTTCTCTGCAGGTTCATTTTTCTCATCTATACAACAGGGTTGTTAGTGGTATCTAACTCTCTCGTGTAAGGCAGTCAGCAGGTGCTTGCCCCTCAGAGGCATTCCATGTATTAGTGTGGTGGAAGACACCGTTAACATTAATCAGTTATTTGGGCATTAGCTCGAAGGGTTTGCAAGAGCTCAAGGACAGCTGGACCTGGAAAGGGCGGGAATTGAACTGAGTGGGCTTTATGTTTATCAGGTGGAAGCAGAGAGGACATTTTGAGCAAGCTAATGAAAAGAAGCTAGTGTGGCTTGCCAAATGAGGAGTGCGGGTTATGGAGCAGCAAATGAGACTAGGCTAACTGTGTGTTTGGGGAGCAAGAGCTAATGTTGACTGGATCAGAGGGTCCTTGAAAAGCAGGTGGAGATTCTCTACTTTTGAGAAATCAACCTGTTCTTCACAGTTTGTCTCCTCCCAAGTTGCCCTGGTGGTCATGATGTAGGCTCACCCAGTATGAAGGTCAAGGAAAAAGAGCCAGGTGGGATGGGGTGTCACCACCCCTCTGTTCACAAGTTTCAATGGTTTCCCGACACTGGGGACGGGCTGTGAAAGCCTTGGTGTGCCTTGCACAGCCCGTACGATCTATCCTTGTCGTCTGCTTTATTATTCTTCAGAGCACTTGTCACTGTCTGCCATGTATGTAATAGCCACTCATTCGTTTTATCTTCTTCCCACACTAAGCTGCAAGCCCTGTGGCAGCCAGAGGTTGGGTTCCCTGTTGTCCTGAGCCCTAATAATAGTGCCAGCCACATGAAGAATGCAGTAGCAATGTGGTAGTAAGACAGCAAGAAAAGCAGCCTGGTGGAGGCTTGCATTGTTTAATGGACACAGTCTCTCTTCACTTACAACACGGATGGTTTCTCAGCTCCCTTTAGTTTTGCTTTGTTTGTGGTTTGGGGGGCACTCCTAGTAGTACACAGCAGACTGCATGGTGCCAGGGTTGTGCCCAGAAATCCCGCAGGTGAAGCAGGAGCTCCCGCCTTTTGAGCCCTCTCCCAGGCTCACGTGGCTTATTTTAAGCATGATCGAGTTCACCTGTAGTTAAAAGAAAAAGCTAGTTAGTCACTAAGCAGACCCAAGGAAAGGATTTTCTCCTTTCTTTCTTTGTGTATGTTCCCAGCACCTCTGGCCACCTTGTCTTTCTGCTCATATAACCTCACGGCCCAGTGAACTGAGCAAAGTGTGGGGCTCTGTGAGCCTCACAGAGATTCACCCCCACCCGAAGAGAATCTGAGCATACATCCACTTGACCCTGAAAACACAGTTTTCCAGGTGTTCTCCAGTTTCATGGTGAGTGTCGGGTGCTTTCTACTGTAGTTGGCAGTTGCTATGCCTGCATCTAGATGGTGTCAGACCATGATACTAGTCATGGAGAAAAAAAATAGACTCTCTAGAGAGTAGGGAAAATACCATAAGCTGACCATAAGCTCCACAACAAGCCCGGTTATTCAACCTGGAAGGGGGGGGGCACAGTGGGAGACAGAGAGGGCGATGATTGACTTTTATTTATTCATTCACTCAGCACCTCTTTTCTGGTCCTCTGTGCTCAGTACTGGACCCTCCTCCCGCTGCCCCAAGACATGACTTTTTTTCTTTTTTTGCGGGGGGGGGGGGGGGGCGGTTCATGCTGTTGGTAGACAGACAGGTCATTCTGTCATTCTCATTCTACTGAGAGCAATGAGCTTCGGGCAATAAATGGATTCATGACCCTTGAATAGTCACACCACAAAGAACCACAAGATGTTCTGGCAGCTCAGAGCAAGGGGACTGGCCTCTGTGTTAGAGCTCGGGGAAAGAGTTCCCTGTGAAGGTTACACTCACGCTGGAGCAGAGGATTTTTAGCAGGGGGAACATGCTGCCCACCGCCAGGGCCCAGCAGCCCGTCAGCTCAGTCAGAGAAATTCAACAGAGAGGTTAGAGCTAGGGAGGAATATCCCAGGAAAGCAAGGAGATACTGACAAGTTGAAAGCAAGGACCAGATTGTGTCTGCGGGCTCAAGTGGAAGGTCACTATAGGAGTTCAGGCAGATGACAGTGAATAAATGAGGACCAGAGTGAGGAGAGGGAAGAGGAAGAGGAATGGACACATCCTGGGGTATGAAATGGACTAAATATGGAGAATGATAAAGCAGCAGAGACCAGAGGTGCTTTCAGAAGGATTTATTGCTCCTTCTCCAGGCAGGCACTGTGCTGCTAGCTGCACACAATGATGAAAACAAATAGAGACAGCATCCTCCTCCACATGCTGGTATCTTCAGTGGGGGCGGCAGAAGGCAGCAAAATCTGACAAAGGAGCAGAATTGTGGGGAAGATGAATTTGGGATGTGGTACCTGAGAACCCCAACCCCAGACCTCCCTTGGAGAGGCTAAGGGGGAAAGTGTACAGATCGGGAACAAGGAGAGGACCCACCTGGTACTCAGGTGCAGGAATTGGGAGATATGTAGAAGCCAAAGAAAAAGTGAGACCCCTTGATACATGGAGCTCAGGACCCTTCTTCATTTCACACCTCAGCAGAATTGAGAGACAGAATTGAGGTGCATATAAGAAGTTCCTATTCAAAACATTCATATGGAAACCAGAGAGATAGTTCAGGAATGATAGCACTCATCTTTGAATGCAGCCGACCCTGGTTTGATCCTCAGCACCACACATGGTTCACTGAATACCACCAAAAGTGATCCCTAAGAAGAGGCAAGAGTAAGCCCTGAGCACTCCTGTGTGTGACTCAAAAATAAAATAAAGAAAATAAAGATAAAACACTGGTTATGGGGACCCTGGATGTGTGGTGATGCAGTAGAGTACTTGCCTTGCATGCTCGAGGCCCTGACCTCCATCTCCAGCACTGCTCAATAAATAAAGCAGATATGTTTACTCAACACAGAGAGTGATTTAACTGAAGCTACTGGGAGGGATCTCTCCCAGGGAAGTAAATGACTGAAGTACAGCGAGACTCTTACCTGTAGAGTGGTTCTAACACCTGGGCCCCAGGGACAGGCGCCCAGCCAAGCTTTCAGCAATGAGTGTTCCCAGGGAGTCTGGTTACACTGCAGACACCACTGAGGAAACATTCTGGGAAAAGATGTTGGGGCTCAAAGCCATATAGACCATGGCTTCTGGGCTTGCTTTACTCTCCTTAACTGTGTATGTTTTTCCATGGAAAATTTTTAAGCCAGATGATGAAAATTCCTTTATTTTTCCCCTTTATCTGAATGATGTTACCATGCTCTCCAGTGCCTATGCCTGGGCAGTCCAGATCCCCATCCCTCCAGCGTCATCTACCACATCTCCAATAAAGGGAAGGGGAGAGACATTTGTGTTGGCATCAAAATCCTGCTCCTGAACTGGAGAAATTTAAGAGGAGACAGCTCGTTACATAATATGTGGTCTCATGGCAGGGGCTCCTCTTCTCTACCTGTCAGGCTGTTTGGAACAGCCTTCTCCTCTTGTGACCCTCTTAATAGATCTGTTGCATAGCTAATCAAATATATTTGAATGATAATTTACTGATTAGAAGTCCAAAAGAAGTTTATTTTAAAATACAGTTTTTAAGATTGTCCCCAGTCTCCACATTCTGTTATGTAATCCTCTCTGGCTTTGTGATCCACAGTTAAAAGAAACATGGGTTTAGATGACACCTCTGAACCTAATTATATGCCCATCTTGAGATTCAGGGGGAAAATCTGGTAGGAATAGAAGTTGATTTGTAAGTGAAAGGACAATGTTTATACTCTAGAGGAACTTCCAGGCTTTTTTTTATTTGGTTCGTTTTAGGGCCACACCTGGAGGTGCTCAGGGATCACTCCTGGGCATCCTCCTGGACCATATGTGATGCTGATGATTGAATGGTATCTGCCTAACTAGGAGAGAGCTCCTGGTAGCCCTGTGGGGTTGTATAGATTGAATACTAGACTTCCTTGAGCATAGAGTGGGGCCTGCGGTGTGGAGAGTATGTGGCCTTCTCTCCAAAGACCCCTGCCTAAGACCCAGAGAAACTCCTTCATTTCTGATCTGCCTTTGCACCCCAGGAGAGGGGAAACCAAACTGAAGGGAAAATAGAGGTAGAGAACTGAGTAGAAGACTGAGCATCAGATTTCTTCTTTTCACTTGAAAAAGGGTTAAGGATTTGTAACTTAACTGCTGCTCCTTTCCTTAAAAAAGGAAACACAAATTCTCTTTAGAGGAACATCTTTTGTCAACAATGGCTGCTGTTTTTAACAGAGAAAATGAGTAAAGTCAGACAAAGACATTCTTCATTTTCCCCCCTCCGAAATATGTTAAGTATAAATCTTGGAAAGACAATTGTACAAAATGACTGACTTTCAGCTTCTATTAATAAGTCAAAGCTCATATATATGTAATTTCTGTTGGCAATCTATGTGGTTTTTGTTTTAACTTATTTTTGAAGATCTGTATTTATCATTCTTGCTAATAGATGATATAATGAGAAACTAATAATACAAATTAGTATAGCTGGCTGATATGTTGACACCTAAGGGTTGTTTTTTTTAACTGGAGTTTTAAAATCTCCTCAGAAAATCCAAAATGACCTTGTCCAAATGTTTTGTAATTAACTGTCAGAAGCTAACACCTTTACCACCATTTCAAAAAAGAGGAGAAAAATCCTCCTTTGCTCATCCTCTTTTTATTTACTGGATTCGTCTGAACACTAGAGAAAAAATGTCCTCTTCGCTTCTGAGATGGACATAGATTTCCAAGTTACTTGGCCCAAGAAATGATTTAAATAGGAAGGAATTTGATATACCTTTAATTCTCGGAAATAAGAGAACTCCTGCTGAGGTTTGGTTCAGGGCAAAGTCTGCTCTTCACGCTAAAGAAAATCTATCACATTAATCCCAGAGGCCCAGAATCCAAAGCTGCGTGAACAGAATGCTCAAGTCCAAGGTGAGGAGAATGCTTTGAAAGAAACTTTAAAAACAGAATGGCTGTTCAGAGAATATCATTCCTTGTGTGGAATCATGCAGCATTAAGAACAGATAAAAATAATTATTTATGCTTTAAGAGCTGCACAATAAAATATGAAAAAAATCTGGCTAAATACAAATAGCTGCATAAGAGAAAAAGAGAACTATAGAATAATGTCTCTTTTTTTCAGTGTTAATGTGAGCTGCCGCATAATGAAATAGTAGGAGATTTTTTTTTATTTCACTTCACACCGGCATAGAAGAGATGAGAGGAAAATTATATTGCCAGATAATGCCAGGATAGATTTGCTAAAGATGTTATCATGTACTGTATTTAAAGCAAAAATCTAATTGCTGTAATTTATCATACTCTGGTTATTAAAACTGTGCTAATTTAGAGATTTTAGTCATTTGCCATGTTTGTATATTGTGAATTTTTGTAGATGAGACTATAAAAATTTCTAAGTTTTTTCAGCCTTTGCATGGTATTTTTAGGAGTTCCTGAGTAAAATTAACATCTTTAAATATATCGTATTTACATCAGTAATAAAAATTCCTTATGTTTTTCCTTTAGTTGGTTCAGTGAAATACCTGGAATTGGTGAGTCTGAGGTGTGAGAGTCCAGGTCATTGAACAATGTTAATTCCCTGTACACACATCTAATTTTACATAGAGCAAGGTGAATTTCACTCTCATAATTTGGATTGGAGGAAGATCTGTTTAATGGTTTAAGAAATTGGAGAGGAAAGATTCTGTTGATTTTAGTACGCATTTGCTCCTTGATCTTGAGAAATCAGTCTCCTAAGACAATCACTGGAATAAAATTTCTCTTTAAAAACACACATAATACTTTCCCTGGACAATAGGAATAAGGCAGAGAGGTAAGCAAAGGGCTGCACAGTATAGATGTAAAAATAAAACATCTCAGAATGAAAGCATGGCCGTTCTTGGAGGGAGCGCAGAGCTTGGGGGAGGCACGTAGCCTGCAGTGAAATCATCTGTCCACTGTGGGTGTGGGAGGAGGCCTTGGGGAAATAGAACCATTTCAACACATGGGCCACTTGTCTCCACCCTGGAAGCAACACAGTGGTTCAATTTGATTTCAGCACACCTCATAAAAGGAAACTGCCATCTATATGCCAAAGGCTTTGTGAGAGTAGCCCTGGGGTTTAAAACTATTTGTTAAAATACAGTCTTATTTCAAAGCAAAAGAAAATACATGAAAATTAGTGTCATAGGCCAGGCTGATAGTTCAAAGGGTTAAGCACATGCTTTGCATGCCTAAGACCTAGGCTCGATCCCAGGCACCACATGGTCCACTGAGTACCCCCAAGTAACCACCCCACACACCTGTCATCAAAAAGTGGGGCCAAAAAATTTAAAAAGTATCCTACATGGCCAGAGAGATGGTACAGCAGATAGGCTGATTTCCTTGCACATGGCTGATCCGGATTCAATCTCCTGCATTCCATATGGTCCCCAAGACCTCCGGGAGTAATTCCTGGGTTTATAACCAGGAATAAGCCCTGAACACTGCCAGATGTGACCCCAAAACAAACAAAAATGTAGTATCCTAGATCAAACTGATGGTGTTCTTTGAGGTCCCAGATTCAGGTTCTAGAAGCCAGAGCTTTAAGGGGCTTTGAAGTTCAGCCTATTAAAGGCTTTTAATACTGTTTTGTGTTTTGGGGCCACACCCAGCAGTGTTTAGGGACTTCTCAGAGCATGTTGCTCTAGAGGCCATGTGGTGCCAGGGGCAGAACCTGATCCTCCAGCATGCAGAACGTGTGCCCCAGCTCTCTCTGGCCCCTTCAGTAGATGGACGTGGTTAAGGTCCCAGGGCCAGCTGTAGACCCTGAGTCTCTGTCAGTCCTAGTCCAGTCCTTGTGTACCCTTCTTCCTGTCCTGCTCTCCTAACCTGTTCCCCGAAGAGCAATTTCCTTTGGTTTCCTCGTCCCCGCCCTTCCCAGGGGACCCCGGTGTTCTCAGCCTAACAAGTAACCAGGTGTTCTTTCTGCAGGTGCAAAGTTCCCCATTAAGTGGACGGCCCCCGAGGCAGCCCTGTATGGGCGGTTCACAATCAAATCTGACGTGTGGTCTTTTGGAATCTTACTCACAGAGCTGGTCACCAAAGGCAGAGTGCCGTACCCAGGTAAGAGTATCCCCCCCACACACAATTGGCTAAACCTCATCCAGTTTGCCATTAAGCCCCATCCTCAGCTCTCAGCCCTGTATGCAATTTGGAGATGGGTCCTCAGCCAGAAAGGGAGAGCTGGGAGCCACCAGCCTAGAGCAAGAAGAGCTCCCGGGAGCCGTGTGCCAGGCTGGATGTCATTAGCAGCAGGTCTGAGTGCTTCAGCCCACCCCAATGCAGGGACAAACTCCTCTCTCCATAGAAGCGGCTCCCAGGGCAAAAATGCTCCTGGCAGAATGTTCTCCCAAACAGACTTTGCAGACACTTCTGGGCAAGAGCAAAGTGCCCAGTGCTTTTTGATTATACAGTAGCACTGACCCACGGAGCAAACCTGGCGGGAAGATGCCAGAACCTGCTCTCTCTGCGGGTCTCAGCTCCAGATGGCCAGAGAGCGCAGCAGCACATAGGAAATGCCATTTAGAGGCCGTTCCCTGCCCATTTCTGAACAGTTGAAAATGTGCAGTGCCAAAAAGGCAGGAAGAATATCAGGAAACTGGAGCTTCTTTCAATCCTGGAATTTTTCTCAATGACCAGCTTTCTGGCTCTGCCAAGAAACCACAGGTTTTCAGTTATCTCTGCTTAATGTGATTCATTTAGACAGAGGATGATGTCAGGGACACGCGTGCCATTTCACCGTCACGCTTTGGTAGTCATAGCACAGCCACAATCGGCGTCCTGAAATGTTAAAGGCATATTTTTCTGCTAGCACTGAGAGTAGAAAGAGCACAGCTCCCCCTCTTCGCCTTGCCGAACAAAGAAACCAAACAAAACAAAGAAAGCCACCATCAAGTGATAGGGGAGATTAATGAGGGATCTGGGGGGCTCTTGCAAATCCTGGCTTTCTAATCGCATCTTTGTGAGTCAGGGGAGCCGGTGAGGGCAAATTAATTTGTAATCTCTTTGTTCCTTCACACAATTGTCTCTGGTCATCTTCACTCAGAGGACACACACAAAGAGCGTCTCTTTCCACTCGGCTGCAGCCTGGAGACTCCTCGGAGAGCCGGGCTGGCACAGGAACAACACTGACAAGTTCCCTGGCTCTGAAGTCCATGCACAGGCATTCGGAACTGCAGGGGGAAGTCAGTGCTGTGGGTGCCATGGCATGGGCTACTCCCAGAGCACACACTCAGGCCGCCGGGGAATAGCCAACCCAGGAGAGAGGGCCGCTCTCCCTGCAGGGCCCGGGAGCACCTGATTGGGCTTTTCAGAGTTTGCTTCTCTAGGGAGAAAATTTGTTCCGGTTCCAAATTTCAAAGATGTCAAAGCTCCTCGTTTTTTGTTTTTTGTTTTTTTTTTATTGTCTGAATATTGAGCTGATTTCACTCTGAGCCTCCAGGTTGCCAGTCACCCCACATGTTACAGGATAATACTTGAAGACAGGTCACTGTTTCCTTTAAATAGTTCGGGCAAAGCTTTTCCTTGCAGCCACACCAAAGGGATGTTTATTTTTCAGGGTACAGAAACCCAGACAAAGTAGTAGGGGCAGGGATCTCGGAGAAGGAAGGAAGGTATGCATTCCAGAGGGAGCCTCTTTAATAAGTTGGATTTGGCATCAGGAAAGCAGCCTCATTTTCTCGCTCAGAGTAGAATTCATTCATTTATTCATTCATTCATTTCCACGTAATATCAGTACATGTGAACTGTGTAGCAATTTGCACTTCCCAAGAAAATTAAGTGCAAATGAGACATTCAGGCTCTTAGCAAACTTGCCTTGAACTCGACTCTCTTTTAGGTGCTAGAATGGGGCAGTGAGCAAATAAACAAATGCAGTCACTTCACTCCTGGAACTTACCATTAGATAGATAAAATAGGCATCAAGCCCAGGAGAAAATCTGCCTTATTAGTTATTTTCAGAGGAAGTCCTTAAAGGGAGAGGTCACTCAAATCTAGCCACTATGGCCCCCGTGTTCATTCTGGTAATGGAGTCTAGGACTTAGTGAGATGGTGAAGAAGGGAATTTAGAATGAGAAGTAGGTCCAGGTGAGTGTGCACAGTTCTGTCCTGTCAGTGATGCCAGGATAGGGGCACTGGAAGCTTTCATTCTGCAAGGGCAGTTTGGGGGACTGTGTCTGAGATAATTGCCTGAAGGAGAAGATGGGAACATTTCTTTGCTAGAAGAGGGAGATGCCGGAGCAGTAGCACAGCAGGTAGAGTATTTGCCTTGCACCCAGCTGTCCTGGGATCAATCCACAGCACCCCATAAGATCCCTCGAGCACTGCCAGGGAGTGCAGAGGCAGGAGTAAACACTAAGCACTGCCAGGTGTGCCTTCCCACCCCGCCAACCAAATAAAAGGGAAGAGGGAGCAGGGTCCCAACCAAAGAAGAGCATGTGGGAAGTTGCCGAAGAGGAGGTACAGGTTGACAAGTGTGCAGATCAGATGAGGATCACGAACCGCCACAGAGGCTCTGGACCTGGTCTGCAGCTGGAACCAGGAAGCCGAGATTGTCAGTAGGGGTGAGGTGAGCTGCTTCTCAGTGCCAGAAAGCCACAGAAAATACCTCACGGGCCTGTTTCTCACTCTGGATGCCTCCTGTTTTTGTGTTTTTGCTGTTTTTCTTTTCTAACATAGCTATAATCGTATATAATTGGGAGTCTGCTTCTCATCGTCAACTCTTCTTGAGGGAGAGGCTTTTACAGAGGGATTCCAATTACAGGACTATTACCTTAATGAAGGATAACAATTCCTAGGGAACAGTGTCTTTCATTAAAGCTTCATCCAGATGTCACTGAGAAAGGAGCAATCGTGGTCTCTCTCTTCTTTTTCCTGTCTCTCTGTTTCCTTTTTGGAAGGCAGTGCTCAGGGGCCCTGGGGTCACTTGGTGAAGCTTGTCCTGGCTGGGCAGACCTGGCCACTGTTTAGGGGACTTTGGTACCAAGGATCAAACTCAGGGCCTCCACACGTACTGTATGTGCTGTAGGCCTTGAGTCATCTTCCCAGCCCACCCCACCCATCCCCACATTCTTGCTGAGGGCAACGACAACCAGTACCCACCCATCAGGACTTGGCTTCTGGATTTCCATGTGGTCATTTTTCAGTGGTCTGAATGTCTCTTCAAATTATTCTTTCTTCAAAGCAGTGAGTGGTGGTACATTTTTCTGGGTCCTTTCATGCCTGCCAATGGCCCCTGTTCCCGTTGCTCTAGGACTAGTATTGTGGCCGGTAGGTGCGGATAAAGGTCAGAGGAGAGGGAGGTGACATGTCTGAAGCTGTTATAAAACCTCCCGGGCATGGTTTGGCCTGGCATCAAAGAAAGTCCAGAATTAATAATCAGAAAAAGAATGTGTGTTTCACCAAAGGAAGGAAAAAGGGGATCAGGAGACAATAAAAGGTTCACTCAGGGCTGGAGAGATAGTACAGCTGCTAAGGCACTTGTCTTGCACCCAGCTTCAAGCCCTGGCGTCCCTGAGCACTGCCAGGAGTGATTCCTGAGTGTAGAACTAGGAATAAACAAACCCTGAGTACCACCAAAATAAGTAAATAATTAAAACATAGTATTAAAACACTCAGTTGAATAGGATAAAGCATTATGTAAGGCATGGATAGAAAGGAAGGAGAGAAATTGAATAAGAGCCTTGAAGCCAAAGGGGAAAATGATGAAGTGGGTCAGCAAGATAATGTAAGTGTTAAGGTGCTTGGCCCTGGTTCAATCCTCAGACCACATGTGATCCCAGAACACTACCAGGAAAGATCCCTGAGCACAAAACCATAAGTAGCACTGCTGGCGCACCATTCAGTATGACCCCCAAACCATAAAGTATACTGAAATAAGACACTGAGACTATGGGATGTCGTCCTTTTGAGATGCGTGTCGTACCTGGGACACAGGCCAGAAGAACACCTCTGTTTGGTGAATTCTCTCATCACAGCTCAAACACATTCTCAGCATTGCCATATAACTGGCTTTTCTGCCTACCGAGGTTCAGAGCCATTCTTTGCATCAAGATGAGATGCAACTGCTGTGTGCTGATGGATTGTTGTCACTAAGAAATGAAAACACAAGTAGAAGCACTTTTCTGAGGTTTACACAGAAACTCAATTATGCATATCAGCCTTCTTGTTTGACTTTCAATTCCTTCCTTTCCTCTTTTCCTCCATTGCCCCATGTCCGCTATCATCCAGAAAGACAGTGAGTGATCTCCTGGGAATTCCTACTGTCCCTTCACCCCACTACCCAGACCCCACCCCTTTCTGTCATTGTCACCAGCTAAGTTATTCTAGAAAACATTAAACCCAGCTAGCTTCTGCTCCCCCTGTAAATGCCCGAGGCCACCCATGGCCTTCCAGACAGGCTGCAGATGCTTTCCTCAGTCTTTCAGTCCTTCCACACATCTTTATGGAGCATGTACCACACGCCAGGCATTGTTCAGACCACGTCTGTGCCATAGTCTCTGTGTCTCTGTTCCCCAGTGGCTTTGCTCTTTAAGAGGAAATGGCCTCCTGGCCTATTTTCTCAGCACCCAGTGCTAGGCATGTGTTTTCCCCAGAGCAGATTTTTCAAAGCACAACAGCAGGCGGCTGGATGGCACAGGAGAAAAGAAGATTATGTAAAGACCTTTAAGCATGATGGCTTTGGGTTGTGTGCTCTCATTTGACCCAATATTTGTCTTTAAGCCCTAGTCCGTCCTCTCCACCTATCGATGTAAAGTACGTTTTCCTAGCCTTGAGATAACTCTGCCTTGCAAGAAATGGACTCTGTAGTCCGCTCAGACTCCATTCTCAGGAGAACACCCAGGCCATTCTGTGCCCTGGCTCTCAACCGAGCACCTGGCAAAGCAGGCGCTTTCTCTTGGCCAAGGCGCTTTGATGGATGCCTTGGAAGCACTTTCCAATCTTTCAGCGCATGGCATCTGCCCGACCTTCTTGGCTGTGTCAAATCATTTGATAATGACTTGAAGAGGTAAAGGAAATCAATGACAGGAGTGGCGCTGTCCTTAAAGAATGGAAGTCCCGCCACT